TCGCAGTCTAGCTGATAGTAATGACTTAATGAGCCTTCACAGAAACTGTACCTGCTCTGTCCTTGACCTCTCTTCACTTAGCTTTCCAATTTTTCCATCCATCCATTCGCAAGGATGTCACACTGCTCGCTACTAACATGCCACAAATAATAAACAGGCTCACCTTGTTGGGGCTTTTCTTTACCCTAGTTCCTAATCTTAAGAAAGAGGCAACGCTTTGATCAGGTTAGACATGCAATAACAAAGCAAGGATACCTGAACTAATAATAAAGCTTACCTCTAATTTGAACAAAGACTTTTTTTTTCCTTTTTGTCTTTTTTTTACTGACCGGCAACGGGATCGCAACCCTCGGTGTTGCGCCCGCACCGCGCCCAGCCAGTGAGCAGGAACCAGTCTCCACATGGGATCCGAACCCTCGGCGGGAGCGCCGTCGCGCTCCCAAGTGGCGCACTTCTCCAGTGCGCCACCGGGCCACCCTGAACAAAGACTTTTAACCTTAAACATCATTGACTCATCTGACACATATAATTTTTAACCTAATATAAAATCAATCTTTAAGCTAATGAAATTTGGTGTTACATCTGTGTAGTTAGCAAGGAAAAACAACTAACATCAACTAATAGTAAAATAAACATGAAGTTCATCACTTTAAATGTGAGAGGTGGGCCACACTAGGTAACCCAATCACCCTCTGTGCAAGACAACACAGAGAACATTAAGGTAAAATCCAAAAATTCTGAAGAGAACACATTATGTCAAAAACAGTTTCTTTGGGCTACTCTTTATCCAACAATGATGCTAACATTTGAAAATAATTTTCTGTTTCTAGTTCTATGGTACAAACCAGACTAAGATTTCTTCAAATAATAGTTTCCCTAGAAACGAATACCAACTCTATTATACGGAGTTTGTAGTAAAAATTTACCTCAACAAAGCAAACGATATGCCACAAATCAGCTTTTTTCAGAGGACCTCATAAAATTATAGAGATCAGGAGAAAAAAACAGAACGTGTAAAGAGTGAGTTGACAGAATTCGGTGTGATGTTTGCGGGTGTTTTAATGGCTCCCAGACTGAACTTTTATTACTAAAGAGCCATTCATGAGATGTGTGCAATGAAAACTGCAATCACATATAAATTTTTATCTGTCTGTTGCCCTCTTGAGGTTAAGTCCAAGAACAGAAACAAAACAATGCTGGCTTTGAATAGTCCATTACAGAAAGAGGCTCTCTTCTCCGAAGGGCTTCCTCTACAGACACATCCTATCCGAAGCTAGCCAGCTGTAATACAAAACCCCATTTCCACCCCAACAACAGATGACTTAACATTCAAACACTACTAGGCACTGGAACATTTCTGCAAAAATAAAGGTAAAACTTCACACCAAGAATAAAGCAAAAATTTTGAAGTTTCAACTGATGAAATGTGAAACTAGCTGCATCCTAAAAGTTCATTATACAGATCTCAGCTGGTCTGATTCACATGACCCAGTGGACCCAAAAGCAGACTGTGAAAAGCTTTGTGCAAATTTTTTGGGGGGAGGGGGGCAAGTCTAAGACATTTATAGCTCAATTCCACTTAACATGCAAGGTGTCAGCACAAGAACACTGCACTAAGAAAAAACGTATCCAAGTACATGGGCTTGGGTTGAAAAATGTCACGGTCTTGACAGATCACCCTGCTGGTGAATTTTCAGAGTTGAATGTAGTTTAGTCAGTAACCCTGTGAATTACTGCTGCCATTCCAATGTCTTGGAGCTTTGAACTAATTAAGGTTGTTTTTCCTCAAATCACATTTCATCTAAGATATAGTTTGATTTTTTTTCAGTATTACTAAGAGAAATGAGTTGGATTACATCATTACTCCTCTAAAGATTGAAGACTTCAGCATTTTACTAAGCATGACTCACTCATGAATGATCGAGGTTTTGAATGAGCAGTAAAAATACTGTTGCCATTTCTCTCATCCTGCTACTCAGCCCCTGTAGTAGGGAAGAGATCACCTGCTCAAAGTCTATAGATTCATGGATGCAGAATCCACCTGTCACATTCCTCAGAGTGAATCAAACAAAAGCAGTTGCTCTCCACACATACTCTTCCAACCGCCACACCCTTTACACAGGCCCCTTGAGCTACCCTTGATACTTGTTGAAACTTATGAAAAAGCCTCTTCATTTTCATTTTGACAGGCCCACAGGAAAACAAAGGAAATTAAGGGGACAGGAAAAGTGCGAAGGGCACAAAAAGATGTCCCTATCCCCAATTCTAAGAAGGAGCTCTACCTAGGTCAGTACTTATCACCACACAAAAAACTCTCTAAGAGGTGGCACTATTTGAACAGCCTTATAATCAGCTATATGACTTCCCCCTCTCCTCATATAAAAGAGAAGCCAGAGAAAAGCCTGAAGCTGGTAGGGGAAGGGGCACGAGAAAAAAAAGACCACATTCTTTCCAATACTTCCAAGCTCTAATGAGGTACACACACATATGCACGTATGCACACAGACTCACACACAGTCAAATTTTTATACCCAGCACAGTTTCTAACATTATAGCAAAGTTCAGGCTCTGAATGCAATGCTGCTTGGGGCTTATATACCCATTCCCCACCAACTGCCTGTGAGACCTCGGGCAAGTTGCTTAATTTCTCTGTGCCTTAGTTTTGGCACCTATAAAACAGGGACAATCTTAATACTCAAAGATTTACTGTAAGTATTAAATAAGTGAATAAAGCACTATCAGGTGCCTAGTACATTGTACAGGGCAAATGGAAACATCCTCTTTTACTGCTCCTTCCCATGTCCCCTCCTCCTCAGCAACATAAGGCCTATGATGACCATCGTTCTCTCTCTCTCCACACACACAAGAGGTCTTCAAAAAGTTCACAGAAATATTCATATTTCCTTTTAATTCTATTTTTCCACAAACTTTTTGAAGTATCCTTGTGTGCGTATACATATATACATGCATATATATATGTGTGTGTACACAGAAATGATAGGATCATACTATAAGAACTGCTCTAAAAATTGCTTTTTCACTTAGTATCTTGGAGATCTGAAACTCTCCACCAGGTAATCTCATCCATTCACACCGGTGTCAACATCATCTATGAGCTGATACTCTCCAATTTTGTACAGCCAGCCCAGATTTCTCCTATATTTATAGCCTACCTGACATCTCTACTTGAATGTATCATAGGCATTTCAAACTTAACATACCCAAAGTAAAACTCTTGATTTTCTCCCACAAACTGGCTCTTCCCTGTCTTTTCCATCTTAGTAATAACACTACCCTCTGACCATTTCCTACAGCCAAAATTGGGTGTCAAGCTTGATTCCTTCCTCTCTTACTCCCAACCTGGTCATTACCACTGCCACCACCCTCACCTGGGCTAGCATGGACATACCAGATGGTCTCCTAGATTGTCTCTCACTTTCACGCTTGTGCCCTCTGATCCATTAGCCAGGCAGTAGCCAGAGGACCTTACCTATCAACCAAAACATATCACTCCCCTGCTTAAAACCATTCACCTGCTTCCTACTGCACTTCAAATAAAATTTCAACTCCTCAAAAGCATGTATAATCTGGCTCTTACCTAACACTTCAACCTCATGTCAGGACGCGCTCCCTTGTTCACCGGGATCTAACCACACTGGCTTCCTTTCTGTTCCCCCTGCTGTTTCCCATCTCAGTGCCTTTATCTCATCTTTTCGGTTCTTGGCCTGACTGACTCCTCCTATGCTTCAGGTCTCAGCTGAAATATGAGGGGTCTTCAACAAGTTCATGGAAAGAGTCATATTTTAATTCCATTTTTTTACGAAATTTATGAAGTACCCTCATTGAACTGCTTCATTTATTCTCTGTCACAACACTCTGCTTCCATCATAGCACTTACTTTGTAAACTGTCAAACTAGCAGAATGTAAGCACCATGAGGGCATCATGTTGTTCCCAGTGCCTAAAACAGTGCATAGCACCTAGTGGGCCCTCAAGAAACATGCAGCAAATAAAAGAAATAGTACACAAGTAACTATCCAGGTGTTCCTGATACTTCTGAAAAAAAAAAAAAAAACAAAAAACTATTTTAAGACTTTTACTTCTTAAATCACTGAACTATATATGAAACATTAGTATTCTTCATGCTAAAAATTGAGATATGAGGTATCAAAAGAACACGTAATTCACTTTTGCTTTGCCAACTAGAATTCAGAATGAGTAAATAATCCTGCTATGGTTTAAATATTGGTCCCCTCCAAAACATGTTGAAATTTAATTGCCATTCTAAGAATATTAAAAGGTAGGATCTCTGAGAGGTGATTAGGCAGAGCCCTCATGGGTGAGATTAATGCCACTGGAAAATGATGTCGTAAGCCCTCTTTCTCCTCTCTTACCCTTCTGCCATGTGATGACACAGAAAGAAGCCCTCACCAAATGCTGGCACCTTGATATTGGACTTCTCAGCCTTCAGAACTGTGAGCCGATAAATTTCTGTTCATTATAAACTACCCAGTCTCAGGGATTCTATTCTAGCATCACAAAATGGATTAAGACAGGTCCCATTCACAAACAGAAATTATTTAATAGTTATTAAATAACAGTTACCATTAAGTTGTTTTTATATAATAGTCACTTGTTTTGTTGATTTTATGGCAGCTAAATGTTTCCAGTAAAGAGTACCCCCAGTCCTATTCTTGGGTGGGCTGAAAACCCAACTGGCCCAATCTAAACTACTCCTGTAGTTTAAACCAGGTTAAGGCTGAAAAGATGTTCACCACATTTTGTGCATATCTCTATTTGAGAACACCACTATGTCAACAGACCATATTCGCTCTTTTTAAAAAAGGATTATTTAAATGAAAATAGTCTTTTCCCACAAAGCAGCAGAGACTACAAGAAATAAGAATGTGCATGTAGAGCAGAAGGCATTCTCCTAGGCTGCTGCTAGGAGGATAACCTGACAACCACTTTGGAGAATACAATAAAATAAGGATTTCTTACTTGACTGCCTCGTAAATATTGTTGGAAGTATGTCCTGATAAGGCATCATGTAAATTTCGAATAAAATAATCTCTGTATTCTTCTGGAAGAGCCATGAACGTACCACCCATCACAATAAACTCCACTTTATCCACACTGTGACCAAGCTGTTTTAACTGAAAGACATATAAATTCATGAGCATTAGAAGATACAGTGTAGACAACTACCCTAAGAGGGTACTGCAAATTTCTAATTTTATTTTGCAGTGTTTTCATCAGTATAGTTTAAAAATGAGAAGCAATTAAACATATTTAGCTAATTCTGTGGATTAAAAAAGACTTATCTAAAAAACTAAAAATTACAGTTCAAATGAGGCAGAGTGAGAATTAAAAATAATAAACAAGAAGCTTCTTGACTTCAACCCTTACAGACATAAGTAAAAATTTAAAAACACAAAGAATATAAACTAGGAAGCAGTAAAAACATGTATAATACAATATGAAAAATAATAAATATTTATTGATCATGTATTTTATGCCAGACTTTTGGTAAGCCTTGGGAACAAAAAAGACGTGTTTATGATTACACAGTATAATCAGGACTTGATACAATGGAAGAAAAAACACTAGTTTAGGAAGGAAAATCAAGACAGCAGTATAAAAGTGAGTGAACATTCTGAGCACAGGTGGCAGCTCAAGCTTGTCTCCTGGAGAAAAAAAAAGTGGATGGAAGTCTGAATGATAAAAAATGAAATATTATGTCTTCTCTACTAGGGAACAGAATGGTACAGATCTTTCATTTTGTCAACTACAATAAGCCAAGACCCTAATTATTAAAAACAGTTATTTAAATTTGTTGCCATATTTTAGGTTTGAAAAAAAAATAAGGTCAAGTAAAGTAAATTTAGAACAAGAATTTACATACTATGTAAAGGATGTCAATACTTAATATGGACAAAAAGGCACCTTTTTAATACTTGCTTCTGAAAATGGTAAACAATAATTTATACAAAAAATATATATGTATATATACTCATATATCTACACTAAAAGAATATTTTTACATTTACGATTGTTTACAAGGGATACACATCAAAATCATCCAGTAGCTTTTCCAAACTATCTTAACTAGACTTAATCAGAACCTTCAAAGGTTTGGAACATGTTTTGGAGAAGTTAGGTGTTTCCAGTGTATTTATAGTTAAAAAAAGAATCATCACTCTGTGTCAGTTTCTTAAGTCTTTTAAAACACATGGTCCTTTTTTTTTTTCCTTTTTGTCTTTTTTCGTGACCAGCAACGGATCGCAACCCTCAGTGTCGCGCCCGGACCGGGACCGGCAACGGGATCGCAACCCTCAGTGTTGCGCCCGCACCTCGCTCAGCCAGTGAGCAGCCGGTCTGTATGTGGGATCCAAACCCTCGGCGGGAGCACTGCTGCGCTCCCAAGCGGCGCACTGTAGCAGTGCGCCACCGGGCCGGCCCCACATAGTCCTTTTTGATAAACACAAACATTTCACAGTCTATTGAAACATAATTTTACATTTTAAACGAATTAAATATCATGGTTGAAAAAGAAATCAAAGCAAAGGTCAGTTTAGAACATGCTTTTCCAAATTACGCAGGCTCCCCCAAGTGGGGTCCTCTGCTACTGCTGACAATTCTGTTCCACATATGCTTGGGTGACCATGAAGTAAAAATCAGAACTGGATGGTATTCACTAACAAACAGTTAAATAAACACAGAAGCAACTTATTAACTATGTTATGTATTACTCTGTATTTTAGATTCTGTATTTACCCTGCCATATGTTACTGTAACAACTACAGACAGTGCTTACATTTTTAAAATTGGACGAGTTTAAAATAAACATGTAAACAAAGAAAATCTGTTTTAATGTTCAAATGTCTTGAACAGTGCAAGTTCATTTACACAGTATTTGTTTTCAATTAGCTACACTGAGGTATAATTTACATACAGGTTGAGCATTCTAATCTGAAAATCTGAAATTCGAAATGATCCAAAATCTGAAAGTTTTCCCTATGGTTTGAATGTCCCCTCCAAAACTCATGTTGAAACTTAATTCCCAGCGTGGCAGTATTGAGAGATGGGGCCTTTAAAAAGTGATTGAATCATGAGGGCTATGCCCTTATGAATGGATTAATCCACTCATGAATTAATGGATTATCAAGGGAGTGAAACTGGTGGCTTTACAAGAAGAGGAAGAGACACCTGAACTAGCACGTAAAAATGCTCTTGCTCCCTGCACTGCCTCAGGACTCTGCAGAGAATTCGCACCAAGAAGGCTCTCACCAGATGCCGAACCATGCCCTTGGACTTCCCAGCCTCCAGAACTGTAAGAAATAAATTTCATTTCTTTATAAATTACCCAGCTTCAGGTATTCTAAGTGACAGAAAATAGACTAAGACTTTTTTTGAGTGCAGGCATGATGCTCAAAGGAAATGCTCATTGGAGCATTTTGAACTTCAATTTTTTTTTTTTTTTTCCTTTTTTTGTGACCGGTAAGGGGATCGCAACCCTTGGTGTGGGGTGGCCGCACTGTGCTCAGCCAGTGAGCACACTGGCCATCCCTATAAAGGATCCGAACCCGCAGTGGGAGCGCCGCTGCGCTCCCAGCGCCACACTCTCCCAAGTGAGCCATGGGGCCGGCCCTTGAACTTCAAATTTATGGATTAGGGATGCTCAACCAGTATATATTCTGCAAATATTCCAAAATGTGAAAAAATTCCTGAACACTTCTGGTCCCACGCATTTTGAATAAGGGATACTCAACTTGTACAATAAAATCCAGTAATTTTAAGTGTTACTTTAATGGATCAGTTTTGATAAATGTTCAGAGTTATGTAAGCACCACCATGATCATGATACAGAAGGATTCCATAACACCCCACAAGCTTCTTACACCTCTTTGCAGTCAATTCCCTATTCCCATCCAGCAAATCAGTCCTATTACTTCTTGATCTGACTCATGGAAGCTAAAATTCCACCCATCCACCTATTGTTTCAGAATATTCACATACCTTTTTTCCATAAATTTCATATTACAAATTGAAAGAAATTTAGAGAATATAAAACCCTTACATAATAAGAAAATAATACAGTCTCTAAAGAAAGTAGAGTTTTCACTTTGCTAGGCATTGAAAAATAGTCTCCCTCTGGAGATGGATATCGAAAACTTGTAAAGGAGAAAAACATTCTTTTAGTTCTTATTTCAAGTTCAATCCAAATCAAGCAACAATAACTTCTTACTAAGTATAAAAATCTAACTTAAAAAAATGATTTTAAAAAATTTACCTGTTCTATTCGGTGTCTTGTCTGTAGATAAGGGTCATATCTAGCACGGATAGCTCGCATGGAGGTTGGCTAAGAAAAAAAGAAAATATTCTGTTACGTCCACATCAAATTAAAAATAAAAAGTAGTTCCAAAAAAGTTGTATTTAAATTAAAATTCTCTATGGCTTTGAATACTAAAAACCTGGCTTGTACCATTACCTTCCTTTCTCAGTCTTTGGGGTTCAAAATGCTATCGATCCTGGCCAGTCTCCATCCCCCTGTTGTAAGCATCTCTACAGCAGGGTGTCTCCCTGGATCTTATCTGTCATTTGGGTAAACACATGTGGAATCTCTCAGATCACCAAAGTGTTCTACTACTCACAGACATAGATATGCATACATATTCAAAACAGTGATGTAGTAAAAATAATCTTTAAATAAGGTTCTTAAATACAACATAGTTTGTAATGGTTTAACAGATAGCCTTTATACATTGTCATACAATGCAATACTCCACAGCCATGAAACAATGAAACAATGTTCTGATATAAAATGTTCTCTAAGATATACTGTTAAATGAAAAAAGTAAGGTACAGAACAGTATTATGATACGCTACTTTATATGAATAAAGAATATGTATATGCTTATATACCCATAAAACATCTGTGAAAGATGTAGAGGAAATAGATAAGGCTGATTGTCTGCTGGGGGGAGGAGCAGAAAAAGGTGGCTAGGGGATAAGAATGAGAGGAAGCCTTTTCACTGAATAATTCCTTTTGTATTTTTTAGAAATTTGAACAATGGAAAACAGGAAAAAAATGAAAAACATACATGAGAAGAAAAAGTCATATAGTTTGCTGCTGTCTGACCTCTTCTGAAGAGGTGACTCCTTCAGAAGCTGCTCACTGGGCTCCTGCTTCACTCTTGCCCATATTCTAATCCCTTCTCCACTTGGCTGTCAAAATGATCTCTAAAAACCTAAATCAGATTGTATCATTCCCCTTTCCCTCAACCACTGTGCTCCACTGTCATTCCTGATATTCTTATGACCAGCTCCTTCTTGTCATTCATGACTTAGCTCAAATATAGGCTTCCCAGAGAATCCTTTCATAGTCACCATAGCTGAAGTATCTCCAGCTATCATCACCTTACCTGATTTTATTTCTCTGCTTAGCATTTATTAGTACCTGATATTTTTCTTGTTTGTTTCTTTATTGTTTACCTTCCATTATTAGAATGCAAATTCCACAAGACAAGGGATCTTGACAATTTTTTCACTGCTAAAGAGACAGTACAATGTAGTGGTGAGGAGAATAGAGTTCAAAACCTGGTTGTCACCTACTAACAGTGTATCTCTGGGTCAGCTGTTTAAGCCTTCTATCCCTCAGTTTCCTCAACCATAAATTGGGATAATAATAGGGTCTATTTTCAAAAATTGCTGTAAAGTTTAAAGCTGTAAAGCACTTAGAACAGTGTTTGGAATATGTTGAGAAGTGCTTACATATGTATTTCTCCAATGACTCGAACAATATATGGCACTAGTAGACACTGAACAAATATTTAGTAAAGGAACAGCTTTTATAATCTGGAAAAAAATAAAAACTAAAAATTTTTTAAAAGCCACACTATGGGTAAAGTATGATGTAACACTTCATCAGGACAACCTCCAATTACTTTACCTCATATCCAGTATAAGACTGGGTTGAATATTCAAAATCTGAGTCAGGTCCACCAGGGCAGTATCTGCCAATAGAGCAAAAAAACAAGGTACAGAATTTAGTTCAACAATCTAGTTTAAGAATCTGTAGTCTCCACAAAATCCTAATATTGGATGAGCTTCATTTTCAAATCTTAAAAGAATCTACCTTTGCAGTACCTGCAAATAACGTATTTTCTGCCAACAAGTAGATATGACAGATATGTAAAGGAATACCATTACATTAATTTTCAAAGTACTGCAGTCATTATTATTTTAGAGGTTTAAGCTTTTATGGGCAAATAAAAGGAATTAAGTTTTTCTAAGTTTTGATTGATACTTACAGTGCTGTCTTGGTAACCACACTCAAGAACTCCTGTTTTATCTTCCTACCTAGAATTGTTCATACTCTTCTACTAATTCTTCAAAATATTTAAGTTTGGGAAACCTGAAGATTACTTATAAAGATAATTTTCTATTTTGATGCTTTTCTAATCCAAATTCATTTTAAATTTCTGACATTTGGAATTTAGGCAGCTCATATTTCCATGTTTCATTTATCACATTAACAATGCCTACTGCTTTGAGTTCCATAACCTACATATTTTTTTATTGTATATCACAACAAATGAAAATCTTTATATGTTTCTTTTTTTTTTTTCCTTTTTTCTCTTTTTTACTGACCGGTAACGGGATCGCAACCCTCGGTGTCGCGCCCATACTGGGGACCAGCAACGGGATCGCAACCCTCAGTGTTGCACCCGCACCACGCTCAGCCAGTGAGCGGGAACCGGTCTCCACATGGGATCCAAACCCTCAGCGGGAGCGCCGCCATGCTCCCAAGCGGCACACTCTCCAGTGTGCCACTGGGCCGGCCCTATATGTTTCATTTTTAAAGCATTGAAATATCCTATCAATGGTTGCTTGTTTCAAAGAACTAAACTATAAATCTATTAAATCAAAGTTTTAAAGTTACCAGTATGTACTGATCAAGGGTTCTAGGGGACTTACTAGTTCAATTAAAACACACATACAACTTATCAAAATCATCATACTTACACACATATATTTCCTGTAAAACTGATGTGTGGACACCTGTGGGGTTTGCACATCACAGCCACAACAGCAATCTATAAAAGATTAATAAAAAAGCTATTATAGATTAATACAAAATTCTGGAGGGTGCTTCTCCCTCAGAGGGAGAGAGAGGAATGCAATCAGAGAAGCACCCAAGGGGCTTATAAGGTATTGGTAACACTGTCTTTCTTAAGCAGGGTACAAGGGTGATCTATATTCAACATTAATAATTTTTTAAATGTGCATATGAATTGTATGTATGTGTTTGTACTATATATTGCAATAAATTAAGTGCAAAATAAATAATTTTTAAAGCCACCATGATTCTTATTCTCTCTGATTTATTGTTTTATTAAAATAGCCTACAAGAAATAAATTATGCAATTCTATAAAATTAAAATATATACTTAACTTTATTTTTGTTTTTGGCAGCTGGCCAGGACAGGAATCAAACCTTGGACCTTGCTGTTATCAGCATCATGCTCTACCTGAGCTAACTCACCAGCCCCTATAAACCTAACTTTTAACTCAAACTCCTCATGGATACACTAGATCATGATATTTACAGCAGGGACTATTAAGCTAGGAGCTAGACTGTCTCAGAGTCTGTGTGCAAAACATTCTTAGAGGGGTCCGGCAGAGCCTAAGTGGGGTATCTGCTTGAAAAAGAAGGTGGCGGCAGAGATACAAGATTGGTTACATCTGAGATGGTTGGTCAAACAGGGAACACATTAAAGCTAATGCAAGCCAGGTTTCTTACTGTCAGAGAAGAAAGTTGTAAATATGCAAAGGGAGAGAATTAGAATGAACTTTGAAGGTATTTTTTGTGAACTCACAGTTTCAACATAGATAGACTGATATAGAAATATAAACCAAAATATGTTATGTATATATGTGTGCATGTATGTACGTAGATACACATATACATATCCTACTTTGATCCACTGAGAAGGTCTGGGAGCATCAAAACCCTAATTGCAGTGAACATACCTAGCACTCAGATCTTTGTTTCTAAATACTCTTCCCCACTAAAAGAGAGCAGGGCTCCTTGGAGAAATGGCTGATTCCAGGGCTGGGGCAACGAATGAGCCTGGAACATTATATTGTGCCTGAAAGACACTGCTCAAAGGACGATGGGAACATTTCAAAAAGACACAGAAACCAGCTGGAAAGGGTTCCCACTGGTCAAACCTAGGATAATTTGTGCATCAAAATAAATAATGATAGTAACAGATTATAACCCACCAAATAGGAAACATTAATTCATTCATCAGCTGAATGAGTAAACTGGAAGTTTGACGAGGAGCAGGATGTTATACCTAGTCTCAAAGTACCTTTCCACACAACACTTAATTACAAAGTGGAAAGAAATAACTTTAAAGAGGAGAAGTCTAATAGACATCACCTTGATCAAAATGAACAATATCAGTGATAGGACAAATGGAAACTATGCACCACCAGACAGGAGACAATAAGAACACAGGATCACTTCTGTGATGGTCTTGCCAAAGACTCATAGCCTCAATCTAATCATGGGGAAATATGTGATTGACCTACGTAGAGAGGGATATGCTACAAATCTTCAAAAGTGTTAAATCAAAGAAAGACAGAGGAAGTGTCCAGACTGAAGAGTTGTGACAATAAATGCCTCACATGACTCTAAACTGGGTCCTGTCAGACATTACTGAAACAGCTGGTGAAACTTGAATGAGGCCTGAGGATTGGATGACAGTAATGTATCCAATGTATCCGTGCTATTTTCTTGATTTTAACGGCTTGTATGGTAGTGATGTAAGAAGATGTCCAAGTTTGGTGGAAATATACACTGAAGCATTCAAAAGCATCAGCTTTGTAACTTACCAAGGGAAACAATTTTTTTGTACTGTATTTTCAACTTTTCCATAAGTCTGTGATTATTTTTTATAATAAAAATTATTAAAATTAAAATCATTAAACAGTGATTAAGAGAAACCTCAAAATAAATAATTTTACAAGAAATCTCATTTAAAAATCCAAATTAAAAACTTAGATTTTCAAATAAGTGTTTTTATTTAAAATGAGATACAACCACCTATACCACTAATGAGGTCAGTCCAATTCATCAATCTTTTATTGAGTGCCTACTACTACACAGGCCAGGTTCTGTGCTGCCCAGAGCTCGGTGGGCCCTGAGACTACTGAAGTACAAGTATAATACATTGCCTGTGCCCTCTGAAACCGCACCACTTAAAAGGGAGAAAGACATATAGAAACAGGCTATTTCAAAACAACAATGGTAAGAGCACATAAAAATACTAGGACTGTGTCCAAAGAAAGCAAGAGGCCCTGACCAGGGGAGTCAGGGAAGCCTTCCTGGGGAGCTAACAACCATACTGAACAAGAGTGAGGTGAGCTAAGAAGACAGGGGAAGTGGGCCAGGGAAGCAACATGCAGTAGTTTTCAATCATTTTTTAAGCAAGAGAGCACTCTCAGCCCTCCTAGCATTCCGCATGTCTCCACTCTAGCACATATCATAATGTCTGAACTCCCCAGTTCCACCTCATTACCTGGGTATTATTACATGGAGGTAGAGATGTGGGGCCCAATAGATACACACTGTATCAATATTTCATGGGTTAAATCACTTACCCCACTGGCAGTTCTGATGGGTTTTGACTTTAATTTGGGGACCAACACCTTTCGATACTGAGGAGGGACTGCAGCGATGATGTCCACCAGGCGGGGCTGTGCTGATAGGCCATATTTGGCAGCTGTTTTGGTTTTCACCCTGAAAGTAAAGCATTATCAAGGTCACAATATTGCAAGCACAAGCTACCAAAAGGATGAACTATAAATAATACCATTAACTCCTATCACTTCCCTACCCCTTCACTAGGTGATATTAGTGCTTTAAGATCTATGAATATCAGGAAAATAGAAGAACAAAATGAATGAATGAATGTCAAGCACAAGCTACCAAAAGGATGAACTATAAATAATACCATTAACTCCTATCACTTCCCTACCCCTTCACTAGGTGCTATTAGTGCTTTAAGATCTATGAATATCAGGAAAATAGAAGAACAAAATGAATGAATGAATGACTTCCTATTCTCATCCTCAAGAACAAGAAAGAAAACCAGAGCGCTACAGAGGAGAGGCCCAGGACGACAACATAACGCAGGTCTAGTTCAAAACAGTACTCCAGCTTCGAGGGACTATTCTGACTCTACCTTTTCTCCACCTCAGCGCTACTGACATTTGGGACCTGATTCTTCGTTTTTGGGGACTACCTTGTGCATCGTAGGATGTTTAGCAGCATCCCTGGCCTCTACGCACTAGCACCTCTCTTCTTGTAAAAACCAAAAATGTCTCTAGACATTGCCAAATATCTCCTGGGGAGGAAATCACCTCTGGTTGAGAAGCACTGTCTTAGACAAAAAAAAAAAAAAAAGGTTATGCAGAACCAAACAGGAAATTAAGTATATATACATAGAGAACATGAAACATGTAAACACACTTTAACAGTTACGAAGTGACCACTTCTGTATGTCCCTTCCTGACTGTCACCCTGCCCCTATTCCCTAGTAATCTTTATCCTCACTAATAATTCCTTTGCTTTTCTCTATAATTTTAACAGCTTTTCTTTTCTTTGGGCCTGCTAGCCAAACTCTAACAGTCACCCTGTCTCCTAATTTTAATTCATCTAGAAATATCTGTGGGGTGATCACATCATTTTCAACAAATGTTAACTCAGTACCTAACATGTACAAGAGACTACCTAAGAACTTGGTATGTCAGAAGGTATAAGAAATAGTCTTCATGTTTTATGCAAACAAATAAGTAAACAAATAAATAAACAAACATGTAAGTGACACACACACACATCCCAACACTGAATGCTTCCAGAGTTCAGAAAAGAATTTGATGTGTGCTGGGGAGACAGTCATGGAAAATGGGGACAGAAGAAAGAGTAGGCCTCAGACAGGCAGTAAAGACACAGAGAAGACACTGAGACCAGACAGATTGGCTTATGTGAAGGTGCAAAAACAGAAATGCATATATTTTAAGAATATGGGTAGACCAACTTGACAGAAAGCAGAATATTTTGAATGTAAAGTTACAGAAGTTTAAAAAGTTGGAAAAGTAGGTTGAAGCCAGATCAAGAAGCCTTACATAATAGGTATGGACATCTGAGTAGGGGCTGGTTTTCAGGAAGATGGCAGCTTTAGCTTTAGATGTGCTAAATTAAAGAGAATGACAGAGATACATAAGAAGTAGAAATGTTCACTAGAAATTAATGATTTGTATAATTAGGAGAATAACTGATAAAAACAGAAAAAAATGTTGAAGACATGGTAGAAGCATCAGTAAAATAAAATGTCTTCACAGTCAAAAGGGGATAATTATTTCCTTATTCATTCCTTTAGCAAATGTTTACTCAGCACAATGTTTCAAGGAAGGAGTGAAATACTGCAGCATCTCAAGTAACAGAGTATAGGGTCTAAGAAAAGGTCACACATGCAGTGATTAGATAACCTGGGGTTGGGGGGAAAACCCTTTTACTAGGGCAGACCTATATAGAGTGAATATATAATTTTAAAAAAAGTAAATGCCGAGATGAAAGACCACCCTTATTTGAGGTGTAGCAAAGCCTGCTGAGCTGAACATGATCACAGAGAGGAAGTGGATGAACGTTTCAAAGAGGTTCTGAAGCAGGGAAGGGCTGGCTTACATCAAGGGTCCCAAAGAGAGAGTATGCCTGGCAGAGAGCTACCGCTTCTGCTGAAGTGGTTGGGAAGAGAAGTAGGATGTGAGTGATGTACACAAGAACACGGGTTCTGGAGACAGATGACCTAATTGCAAATCCCAGCTCTGCCAATTACTAGTTATTTACCCCTGGACAAATTATTTAACCTTTCTATGCCTCAGATTACTTGTCTGTCAAATGAGGGTGATATCACTACTTACCTCACACAGTTTTTGAAAGGAATAACTGAGCTAATACTTATAATGCACTAATAACAGTGCCTGGAATATGGTAAATGCTGAATAAATGTTAGAAGTTATTAATATTATTATGTTATGAGACAATTTTGTCAAAGAGAAACCAGTGACAGGGCAAGGCAAAAAGCTAAAATTCTCAACTAAAAATTAAAACATGAGATAGAAAACAAGTAGCATTAAATAATTTCATAAAAGAGATCTACTACCTAAGAACAAGCAAAATGGTCCTCTTTTTGTAGATCCACTTACTTATTTAGATCGATGTCTTTCCCCTGTTCATGGGCTTCAATCAGTTGTTTAATAACATCTCCTATAGTCAACATCATCAGCTCAGCAGGGCTAAGAGCTCCTGGAAAGAAAATATTCAACAATGTCAAAAATCATATCATTCAGTAAAGATTTTAAAGTCTGATTTAAAGCGGTTTTCCATCCACAGTCATTCCAAATATACCAAACGAATAGCTCAAGTTCACAAAACATTAAACTGCTATTGTTTACAATTTGATCATATCTTTTATATCTTTAATATAAAACAAACCTGGCTTTACCTAGATATGGAAAAAAGTCCCTTTAGAAGCACATACACTATAAGACTATTATAGATAGAGACAGGAAAAGATACAGGAAAGAGTAGTAACAAACATAAGGAGAAAGAACCTAATCATACAGATTAGGACCAAAACAGTTAAATATCTTCCCATTATCTCTAGATTTGTAGTTACTAATATTTGTATAATACTTCAGAGTTCATAAAGAAAACTTAGATGCATTATTTCCATTGATTCTCAGAACAGAGTGAGGTAGATAGGAACAGGAATATTGCCTGTCCCATAAAGATGCTACTAAGGGGTGAAGGTGAAACTCAAACTATCTGCAGAAGTAGTACTGTAAAGCAGGGACAAAGGTTCTGTTCCTACCTAAGGATCTTAATGCACTTCTAAGATACTGTTTGTCCACCATCATGACCTTCTCCTGGCAATTGGGGCTCCGCTTCTCATACAAAAGCAACAGCAGAAGCTGACATGTTCTTATATGACCCTATCCTCTCAATCACAGTTGACGGGTTAAAAACAGGAATCTACCCAAGCCAGGCCAATCTGAGCTCTTTCTATCAAGGCAAAAAACGCCAGTCTTTTTCCAGTAAAAAAAAACTGTGGGATATCAGCTTGAGGACTGAAAAAAGCATGCTTCCTGGCTGTAGAGAAATCTGGTATGGCAAGACAATGAAGTCACCAGATAGAAGTATAGATGAGAAAGCCCTGGCAGTTATGGAGCCCTTTCATTTACTTTACTTTATCTCATTTGAAACCTCACAATAACACCGTAAGGTGGTACTGTTACCCCATTTTACAAACGTAAAAAATTAGGCTAAGGTAAGTTAAGACATCATTGTAAATGGCATAGCTGTGATTTAAATCTGGGTCTTTTCACCACAACTTCCACGCTCTTTTTACTGTACCACACTGCCTCTAATTCAATGAGGCAAGGCTAACATATACAAACCAATCTGAGAGGAAAAAAAAGTCCATCTATAATCAAAGTCTAAACGCTTTCCAAACCATGTTACTCAGCAGTTCAGAGTTCTACAAAGGTGCCTCGGGGGCCACGCAACAGAGATAAGACTGGTGGTGGTGGCAGAGGAAGAGGAAGCGAGAGGAAAAAAGGGATGGATCTCTTTCTCCATTTCAACCAAAGCGGCTCTCCTTTCATCTGTTTATATGTTGAGGCTCTGCATAAGAATTTATTTGGAGGGTAAAAGGGGGTTCGGCTGATAAATATAGGTAAGATTTGAAAACCACTTGTGGGCCGGCCCGTGGCTTACTTGGGAGAGTGTGGTGCTGATAACACCAAGGTCATGGGTTCGGATCCCTATATAAGAATGGCCAGTTAGCTCACTTGGGAGAGCGTGGTGCTGACAACACCAAGTCAAGGGTTAAGATCCCCTTACTGGTCTTTAAAAAAAAAAAAAAAAAGGAAAACCACTTGTATAACCCTTGAATACGTCGAGAATTAACTGAAGGAGTATGTTAGTGAAAAAAAGCCTTCATGAAGGAAGGGGTCTTCAAAGAAAGGGCAGGATTTGGACACATGAAACAGAAGGCGATCCAGAATGAATAACATCAGGCATAGGAATTATTTATCCTATGGGTGTGAAGGAACACTACCTAACTAGAATACAGGCTTTCTGGCAGGGTTCAGTAAAGAACAGATTATGGGTACACTGGCCACTAGGCAAGGGCATTTAAATGGAATGCCATAGACAGTGAAGAATTATATATTCTCAACTACATATTCCAATTATATACTCTCTGGAATTAAAAGGATAAAAGCGGTGTTTAAGAAAGTGAGAATATTATCAGTATAAATAATGACTCAGAAGGTAAAAAGAATACATGTAAACTGGATACTAAGTAGAAGGCTCTTGAAAGGCAACTGCTATTAAAAAAAACCCCACAAGATCAGAAATAAAAAACTTGAACACGACAGGCTCCAGTCTCAACCCCTACTGGCCATGTGATAAATGGAAGATCAATGACTTTTGAGCACCCATTTTCTTGTCTGTAAAATTGGGATAATACATACAAAGCTCACAAAACCACTGTAAGAATCAAGGGAAATAATGTATATAAAAACCAAAGTATGCAAGATGTCAGTTACTGACAAAAGTGGGTTAGAAGGATGGTGCCATAATTAAAAGGAATAAACAACTTCAAGAGACGATTTCTAATAACGAACTAACAGGGGTTGGTGACAGATGAAGTTAAAAGAGTAAAGCTGTCTGGAATGACAGATTGAGAAGAAGCAAGTGAGGGTGAGATAACGACAAATTGGTTTGGAGCATTAGGACTTGATGCCACAGACAACAGAAAGTTAACTTGGTCACTTGGAGCTATTGCTTGGAAGGAAGACAAAAAATAGTTAATGCCAAGAGGCACAGTAATTAGGACACATTTATTTTTCATTCTATATATTTGGGGATTATAGATACAGCCTGACCAACCAGCTCCACACCTCCTCAGCATAATTTTGGGCTGGGAAAGTTGCTTTGAATCTCAGCTTCTTCATCTGTAAAATGGAAATGATACTGACTTCAGAATTATTACTCAAAGTTCAACAAGTGGTAGCTATTATTATGACAACCATTATCATTACTTGATCAACTGCTCAAATAAGTGTACAGAAATAAGAACAGAAACTGTGAGAGTACCTCAAATTTGACTCCATCCTGCTGAAAAACTACAGATAGAATTGCTCCACGCTAACCCAGGCGGTAATAAAATGAGAATAACCGCGTGCATAACGGTCCCACGTTTTTCATATTGTAACTGAAGGCTTTGAAAAAAATCTCAAATAAACAAACACGTCAAATGTGTCTTAAATCTGAACAAAGTAAGAGTACGAGAACGCGTTAAATCGACCGGCCACGTCAACTCCTCGGAGGTCACCAAGTGACCGCCAAGCAAGAAGAGAGCAAGAGGAGGCTGGCTTGCAAAGCACAACAGGTGAGAGGAGAAGGCGGGGGCTGGAACCGACAGGCCGACCCCAGACGACTACATGAGGGAGAGGCCTCCCCGAGAAAAGAGCGTTCCGCATCTGGCCACGCAGAGTTCGCCCTTCCTCCGCCCCTTCCCCTTCCTCTGCCCCTTCGCACCTTTCCGTTTCTGCCTCATGTCCACGACTCCGTAGCACCGATCAGTGAAGAAAAGCGGCTCCCAGCTCCAGCCCACGGGGATAGCGGACGGCCGCAAAGCAACCCAGCCCGTCGTAAAACGACGGTCAATGTGTCGTAAAGCTCTTCCCAGAAGGCTGTGCGCGCAGAGCCTCGCCCCGTCCCCGTAGGTGGCTCGCGAGGCTGCAGGAGCGGGGAGGGGCTTAAGGCTCGGAGTGTGTGAACGCGGCGGTAGCTGGTGGGTTAGAAGCTCGAGCTGGCGGCTCGGCGGTGGGAAGGAGCCTCTGTGTGACGGCTGCGCCAGGAAGCCTGAGCGAGCGCGGGGAAGAGGGTGGTCCCTGAGTGCGGGTGCGTCCCGCCCGGGGAGGCCGGGGACGTGAATGGGGAGACCGTCTAGTGCGGTGGACACCAACATCAGAGCCTGGAAGAGCGGGCGGGGGCCAGGTAACGATCGGACTGCAGGCTTTGAGGCCAGCGGGTCACCTTGGTCTCAGACGAGTGGCGCATCTTACCGATGATCATCACAAGCTTTCATAAGCTGTGGATGTCGCTCCAGAAAAACACAGGCGCAAAAGTTTGCAGAGTTTGGAGGCAGGGCTTGGGATAACGCCTTATTGAAATCCATACGTGATCGCCTTTGTTCATGAACCAGACATTAAGAACCCCTCTCTTAGTAAAGACACCAAGATATGCTGTCTCTAGTTCCTTACTTCCCAGTAGAACTGAGGAACCTCCAGGTCTTTAACCCCACTACAATGCTGAAACTGTCCTGGTCAAGCCTTGTGACTTCCCAACTGGCCAGATTCAGTGGTGTTTTTCTTTCCTTATTGTTGTCGTACCACCAATGAACATGAATTATCTTCCTTGGGAATCTTTTATAATAGGACCCTCCACTCTTGGTTTTTCTTCAACTCTTTCTCAGTCTCTTTCATGGGCTCCTTCTTTTCTGCCTCAAAATATTGCTGTTCCACAGGAGTCACTTAGCCTTGTCTCTCCCAACGTTATCCCCAGAGTGCCATAGCTTTAAATATCATCTGTCTGCTCCCAGGTTTATCGTCCAACCTCAGCTTCTCTCCTACTTGACATCTTGTTGGATTTGGGTGTCTAACATGCATCTCAAACTTAACATGTCCAAAGTAGAATTCTGTTTTTACTCCAGATCTGCTCTTTCTGCACTCTTCCATCTGAAGGCACCATTATCCACCTCATCACTCTTTCCTCAGAGACAGAGAGAGAGAAGTGGGTAATGTAGTCGTAATTTCAAATAGGGGTTAGGGTAGGCCTTATTGAGAATATGATATTTAAGCTAATACTTTATATGCACATACCTGGGGAAAGAGTACTCAGGCAGAGGGAACAGTTAGTGCAAAGGTCCTAGGGTGAGAGGATGCCTGGTATATTAAGGGAAAGTAAGGAGGCCAGTGTCAATGGAGCAGTGAGTGGGCAAAGTGTAATAGAGGTCAGATAAGTAGGAGTGGGGTGGGGGACACTGTGCTCATTGAAAAGCCTTTGGCTTTTACTCTAAGTGAGATGGGGAGCCTCTGGAGTTTTCAGCAGAGAAATGATCTGATTTAAAAGTATGTCTATTTGCTGTGTTGAGAATAGAATGTGGGGGAAGGGTAGAAGCCGGGAGATCAGTTGGGTGGCTATTATCATACCCATGCCAGTGATTACCAAACTTTGAAGCAAGTCATCTGGAGAGCAGTGAAAAATTCAGGTCACATCCATTCCTATTAAATCAGAATATCAAGAGGTGGAACCCAGGCATTAGTATGTTTAGAAGATGTTTGGGTGATCCCAATGTGCAGCAAAGTCTGGGACCTACTGAATGAAGCCATAGGTAATTGTGGCTCACATCAAGGTAGTAAGCAGCGGAGGTAGTGAGAAGTGCTCAGATTCTGAATATATTTTGAAGATTTCAACAAGACTTCCATTGTATGTGGGATACGGGAGAAAGACAGATATCAGCATCAAGTAATGTTAACAAAAACCTTTTGGACCTAGGAACTGGAACAATGTAGTTGCCATTAGCTGAAACGAAGGTGAAGTGGGGTTTCAGGGGGTCAGTTTTGGACTGTTGTGTTTAGGATGCCTAGTGAGGAGTAAGACATGAAAGAGGTCAGAACTGGAAATAACCTTAGGAACTGGAACAATGTAGTTGCCATTAGCTGAAACGAAGGTGAAGTGGGGTTTCAGGGGGTCAGTTTTGGACCGTTGTGTTTAGGATGCCTAGTGAGGAGTAAGACATGAAAGAGGTCAGAACTGGAAATAACCTGTCAAGAGTTAAAGGTATATAGGTAAAATTTAAAGCTATGGAGCAGGGTGACTGTGGAAAGGAAAGAAGAGACCAAAGTCTAAGCCTTGGGGCATTCTTTTGTGAGCAGGTTGAGGAGAAGAGGAATGAGCGAAGGAGACTGAAAGGCACCTCCAGGGAGGTGGGAAGAAAACTAGGCGAGTATATGATTACCTGAAAGCCAACTTGAAAAAGTGTGTCAAAGAGGAGGGAATGATCAACCAGGTCAAATGCTGCTGATGGATCAAAGATAAGGGTTGAAATTTGACCAGGATCATTGAGGAATTTGATAAGAACAGTTTTGGTGGAATGGAAATGGTAAATGAAGGCTAGACTAGAGTAGGTTTATGTGAGATTGAGAGAGGAATTTGAGACAATGAGATTAAACAACTCAAGTTTTATCATATAGAAGAGGAAAATGGGGTAATAGCTGGCAGAAAAACTGAGGTCATGGGGAGTGTTGAAATGAAGGACAGCAAGTTCGTATGCCATTATTCCTATAATCCCAAGGAGAGTGAAAGTTTGATGCCTGAGGAGGGGGGAATGCTCTACCTAGTTCTTCAGCTGGAGAGAAGGGTGGAATCTGGTGCACAAGAGAAGGGATTAGCTTTTGATGGGGCTCATGGAGAGTTCATCTGTTAACAGGCTGGAAGACAGAGCATGTGGTAGGTGGTTGGGTGTGATGGTGGGGCTTTGTGGAAGTTCTCTTTCAATTGCTTCCATGTTTTCAGTGAATTCAGTAGAAATTCAGCCTGATGGAATGGTCAGACTTCTAACAGGCCTAGCGTTCAGGTGTCCAATAGCAGGTGCCAAGTGCTATCAAAAGTAACCCAGGCAGCTTAAAAAACACTCAAAATTAATTTTAGTTAAGTAATTTAGTAGCATGTCTGATTAAGAATACAAGGGTACTTCAAAAAATTCATGGAAAAATGGAATTAAAAGATCATATGAATCTTTTCATGAACTTTTTGAAGACTCTTTGTATAGTTAACTGCTGGGGGGGGGGGGGGGAAAACAGCCAGTAGAGGGAGATGTAATTACATGTGACATGAATATAAGTATAAGGTGTGATTTTGCCCGAAGAAATAAGCGGAAAGTCCAACACTCATGATGGTATTCTTGTTGATTTTCTTTGTTCTGAACTTCATACTGGCATTTCTATGGTTTTCTTATCGAGTAGGTACATCATCTTGCCAAAAGTT